GCCATTCAAGTCATACTCATGGGCGCTAGGCGTCGGAGGCGACGGAGAGACGAGCGTCGTGCGACGGGTTGAGCGGCCGAGGATGCGCGAGAGAGCAAGTCGAGGAGGAGAGCCGCCAATGCGCAGAAGATATACGTGCTTGGCGGGGGACGAGACAGAGGTGCAAAGCTCGACAGCACAGCGTCAACGTGGGTTGTCGATGTCGACCTCGATGTCGGAATTGCTGGACGGGGCCCAGGCACTCCTTGGAGCTTGGAGCAAACGAATGAATTCGACCGAGCGAATGGGCGGGTGCCGATGTTGGATGTGATGGGCGCAGTCGGGCGCAGAAGCAAAAGCTGGGCGGGCGGCGAGAGGGTGCGACTCAGGTGTTGGCAGGCGTTCCGAAGCTTGGGACAAGGCGGGTGGACTGTGGATGTGATGCAGATGGCTGACGGTTGGACTGGAGTGGAGGCGGAGGTGGAAGCAAAATCCTCCATACGTATGTGCTAACAGCAGCACCCATCCACCACCAGTAGTGCTCCCCACGCGCTGATGCACGGGCTCCCCCCTCCCCTTCGAAAAAAAATAGGGACCCCAAAAGGCTAAAGCCAGGTACCTGGCCGGTACCTCGTTGGCGCCTCCAGGCCGCTGCTGGGGCCCCATCTGTCTGCATGCCTCTGCTGCCTCGCCGCACGCCTTCATCCGGGCCTACTGAGGTCGCCTCGAGCAGAAGCTTCGTCGCCTGACGCCCTTGGCCATATCCGGCGGGCAGACTCTTGCGTGCATTTTCGATTGCCAGCTTACTCCCTACCAGCACATGCCAGATGGACGGATACATCGTCTCTAGTCAGCAAGGCTTCAAGGTGCTTATCTTGGACGTCAGACAGAGCGCCTTGTTCTGCACATGCCGGGTACATGGCGGTACTTGCTCCCCGTCCTATCCATCCCACGGCGAGAGCTTCCTCATCAGCTTGTGATCGGATGGCTGCCACGTTGTTACATAGTACTACGGAGAAATGAGTTTTCACTTGTGGGTTTCCCGCACGTCTAGCCCAGGCTTGTCGTGACGCGCGCTGTGCGCCAGGCTATCGCGGGTGATGGCAATAAATGATATTTCATTAATAGGTCGTCCGCTTCCGTCAGGGAATCAACCCATGGCACCCAGATAGGGAGGCTAGCGTATAGCGCAGAGATGCCGCCACGAGGAGCTCTACCTACCTACATACATGCGAGCTACGAATGTGCTCACCTCCGCATGCATGTGCAGCTAGGCTGCTGCCGGTTTGAGACCAGCAGAGGCATGTATGCAGCAGGTACTTGCTCGGGTTCGCAACGGCACCGTGGAAAGCTTGTCCTTTAGCAACTCACCTTCGTCCGGATGGGGGGGCCTTACTCGACAACCTGAACCTTCGGTGCTTCTGGGCTGCCCATCACCAAACGGCCGTCGAGGGATTGACCACGCCCGACTCATTGCCCGATGCAAGTAAGCCCAGGCCCTGATAGCGCGGCTCTGCCTTGCCCGACGTGAGTGTGTGATGAATCTGAGGTGCAGAAGTGAGGGAGGTATATGTACGTAGGAATGAGCTATACCTGCCGCATGTGGAGCCCCGAACCCTGAACCCTGGACTTCCCTATGATCTACAATCTGCGGCCAAAGCCCGTACTAACCTCAGGTAGTCCGCGTTCCAGCAGCCCTCCATCCAGCTCAGCCCAGTGAATGCAGATGTGATGTGAAATGCGTCCGGAGCATAAGCGAAGGGCCCGTGTGGTGGTGCGATTCAGGGAGCAACGACTTGTGCAGAAATGCCGATGCGCCAAATGCCTGTTGGCGTCAACAAATGCCGATTGGTGTGGAGTCTGTCCTACACCTTCATGGAAGTATCCAGCCATGTGGGTGACAGGAGAGATGAGCCATCAGATTGAAGGGTGGGTGGTTGTAAATAGGCCACGTTCTTCGACAGCCAGAAGGATTCACTAGTGAAATGAACCTAATTAATAATTTATCATAAGACAATGATCCAACAATACAGGTAGCAGACTCGAAAATGATCAGTGTAGTGTTTAAACTCAATGCCGATTGCTAGCAGTCAGCCATCATTTGCTCTATGGCTATCGGCTACAACTGACAATAATGCTCGTTTCTGTTACAAATGTGATAAGGCTGACAGTGCCACCCATCTTACAATACAATTTAGTCTTGACCGACACGCCTGATCAGGCGACAAATTCACCTGCATCTGACCCTGTATAGGGTCTATAGGGATCTACGGACTAGCAGCGATCGCTCGCGGGCATAATTTCCAAGCTGGCTTGGCCGAATGCGTGGCCCATTGATATAGGGTATCCGTGCATGAGGAGGAGATCAGATGTCGACCATGTCCATGCATCTATCTCTATACCTGGATTAGCACACAGGAATTGTAACCCCAACAGATGAACACCACCCAGTGCCTCCAAGACAGAATTGCATTCCTGCATGGGCTGGCCACCAGAGCTTTGCACCCAGCCCCCCGTGACGGCCCCGTATGTCGGTCCGAGATTTTCTCCTGATCTCCTGTTAGACCGCACCAATAAGTGGGTGATGAGTGGACAGGTATGCAGCCTGGCCGCCCAAGTTTGCGAATGGCATACGTCCCTTCAAGGCCAAATGGGTCATTGCCCGTTGTTTAATCGCCCAACTGGGGAATCGCAGCGAAACTCGCGCCCACATCGCCAGAGGCGACAGCTCAAGTCTCCCGCCGAACCCCGCAGGTGTGGGCTGGGCATTTCAGCAGAGCTATGACGGAACGACAAACTCACAAGATTAATTCCCCCTTCAAACTCTCTCATATTTTGTCCATTTTTTGTTGAGCACAAGTAAATGTTGTAATTGACAATGGCCAAACCCACACAGCAAAGCCGGGCCTGGTGGAAGGAGAGCTCCGTCTACCAGGTGTATCCGGCCTCCTTCCAAGACTCCAATGGGTCTGGTGTTGGTGACCTCAAGGGTATCATCTCTCGTGTGGATTACCTGAAGAAACTCGGTGTCGACATCGTTTGGCTGTCTCCCATATTCGATAGTCCTCAGATTGACATGGTATGTGCTCGTGCTCTCTCCCAGGGGCACATTTAGCTAATAACGGGGGAACAACCACTTTGAAGGGCTACGACATTAGTGACTACAAGAAGATTTACCCCCCATATGGCGACATTGTAGATGTAGACACGCTCAAGGACAAGTTACACGAGCGAGGAATGAAGCTTGTGCTTGATTTGGTCATGAACCACACTAGTGATCAGCACCACTGGTTCAAGGAGTCGCGGAAGTCAAAGGACAATCCATTCCGAGACTGGTACATCTGGAAACCTCCCAAGTACGACGCGCAGGGGAACAGACAGCCTCCAAACAACTGGAAAGGTCACTTCCAAGGTAACTTTTCCGTCTCATAACCGTCGTTCTGTTCTACGCATAGGGCTAAAGGCATCTCTCTTAAGGTAGCGCATGGGAGTATGATGAACAGACTGATGAGTACTATCTGCACTTGTTTTGCACGGAGCAGCCCGATCTAAACTGGGAAAACCCGGCCGTTCGCAAAGCCGCGCACGATGTGATGCGGTTCTGGCTCGATCGAGGCTGTGATGGGTTCCGTATCGATGTCATCAACTTCATCAGCAAGGACCAATCATTCCCCGACTCTGATAAGACCGTGCTCCCCGGCTCTGAGTTTTACGCCGCTGGACCTCGTCTTCACGAATATCTCAAGGAGCTCGGGGCCATTCTAAAGGAGTATGATGCCTTCAGCGTCGGCGAGATGCCCTGCGTCCATGACGAGCAGCAGTTGATCAAAGCTGTTCGCTCTGACCGCGGGGAGCTGAGCATGATCTTCCATTTTGAACTGTATGCTCAATGTCTCTTTGCATATCCAGTCCCAATCTAACTCTGTGCGCCAGGATGGACATCGATCACGGGCCAGGGGGGAAATTCTCCTCAAAGGACTGGAAGCTCTCCGAGCTCAAGAAGACCACAAACAAGTGGCAGCGATTCATGTACGACAACGACGGCTGGAATGCGCTCTACCTCGAGAACCACGACCAGCCCCGCTCCGTCAGCCGGTTCGCCAACGACAGTCCCGAGCACCGGGCCGCCAGCGCCAAGCTCATCGCCATCTTCCTCGGATTCCAGGCCGGCACCCCGTTTGTCTACCAGGGCCAGGAGATCGGAATGACAAACGTCCCCAAGGACTGGCCCATGGAGGAGTACAAGGATGTCGACTGCCTGAACCACTGGAGGTGAGTTTTAAACTGATCCCCTATTTCTGAATCCGTTGGCTAAATTTGACTATGTATATACAGCTTGTTTAAGGATACCGCAGATGAGAAGACCAAGGAGGAGCTCAAGAAGAACTACCAGAAGAAGTCCAGAGACAACGCGCGTACCCCGATGCAGTGGGACTCGACTTCCAACGCCGGTTTCACGAGCGGGAATGAGCCCTGGATGCGCGTGAATGATAACTACAAGGCCATCAATGCCGCAGCCCAGGTTTCAGACCCCAACTCAGTCTACCACTACTGGAGGCAGGTCCTCGAGAAGCGCAAGGAGTTGAAGGACATTTTTGTCTATGGAGACTTTGGACTGGTCGATGAGCCCAACGAGCGAGTGTTTGCATACAAGCGTATAGCCAGCGATGGCGCTGCTGCGCTGATCGCTTGCAACTTCTCTACGGATCAAGTGAACTGGGGTTTCGAGGGCAAAGCCAAGGAGGTACTGGTAAGCTCGGGTGGGAAATCACTGGAGAATGTAAGCAGTGGCGAGATATCCCTGGGACCATATGAGGCTATTGCCTTGCTCCTCTAGAGAAGTGTTTGGTGTTGAGCACACAAGAGTTTCTGCATATAGATGTGCTGCATTACTAAAAGCATTCTCATTATATTGCTTGTTTGCGTTATGGACATGATCTAAATTAAATAAGTCTCCGATATGTACTTGGAGACAGTACAATGCCATGATGAGGTTGATCTCTCAGGCCAATATATCTATGCTATTCGTCCTGAACCATTTCGCCGAGCGCCTTGCTGTCCTCCATGATGGTCCTGGCCTCCTCGGCCGACACAGACATGTCGCGCATGATGAGCTGAACAGCCAGCTCAGCAACTAATACACACTGAATAAACGCTGCCGACCCACGACCAGAGATGACCGGGTCGCGAACAGCCCTCTCTTTGAGTAGGTCGGTGAACCTTTGTACAAGAAGGTCACACATAATATTGAACCCCTTGGGGCCATAATACCCCGGGTTGAGATTTTCTTCTTTTTTCATGGCGCGGGAAGCCCCGGATTCGATCTTCTTTGCCAGCTTGGTCCGGTAGTAAGATGGCTCTCCGTTCACAATGCCAGCCAAAAAGGCGTGGTGAGAAGCTACTCGGCTCGGTATTTCGTCCCAATCGATGGATGGGTACGATTTCGCCCGCCATGTGTCGAGCGCCGTTTTCTTCTTGTGTTTGTGACAAAATCTGGTTTGTTTCTGTACGTTCATTCTTACACCTTTGGTGAACTCCCTGTAAAACGCGGCATCCACAGCATCACCACACCAGGGACAGACTGCCATTTCTTCGGTCGGTTTACTGTGCTTATCGTCTGCGTTGATAGCTTCATCCTCGGAGTCGGTAGCCATCAGCGTTGCTATAGACTCATCATGATTTCCGAGGTCTGCGACCTGGGTCCCTGGGAAAAACTTGAAGACTGGTGGAGGTGACTTTTCCTCGGAATCCAATGGATCCAGTGTGGTTGGGAGGACAAATTTCGCCTTGGCTTCGGGAGAAGGGCTACGCAGGTCATCATCAAACGACTTGAACTTAGCAATGGGGGATTTTGAACCTGGGGAGGACTCCAGCCCCTTTGGCATTTTGAATTTGGATGCCTTTTTCGGGGAACTAAACTCGTCATCCGAGCCAGGTATGTGTTTGAAAGTGGTTGATAACGGTGTTGATTTAGCTGCTAGTAGTTAGATAAACTGGTTGGAATAAACTGCTTTCAGGATCTCTCACCTTGGGAACTGGCTTGCTTCCACATATCGGAATACTTGAAAGTTCGTTTCGCGGAGGTTTTCTTGCTCGCACCATATGTAGCCGTGACATTTTGCCTCCTAGTGAAGCCGTTGGATTCACTCAGGTGGCTGCCGGCACTGGATGAAGGCTCAGAAGCTCTGCTCTGTTGGGAACTTGACATCGATTTCCTCTTTTGACCAGTGCTCGCCCGTCCATTCTCGTCAGCCAGTTTCTTTCGCTTGGCTGGACTTTGATCCCGGGTCTCCTCTGTGGCTCCTCCAGAAGCAAACTGCCGTCCCCGCTTGGGGCTGGTATTGCTCCTCTGTGCAGGTTTTGACGAGCCGAATGTAGTTCGGCTAATAGCAGCCCGATCTCTCCTCCCCTCATCAGTGTCATCCGAATCTGAATCCTGTGGGGGCCTGAGATGAGAGCGCGTCCCTGAGCTCTCGCTGTCCGATATCGGGTCCGAAACCCCGTGCTTGAATGGCCTCGGACAGCTACCATGGGTACTGTCAGGAGACACAGAGTCATCTATGTCCTCAGTCATTCTTGAATGATACGTCGCGCGAGGTTTTCCTCCGACAACTCTGAGGAGGGGTTTGATTGGGTCTGAATAGCTCAGACCAGAGCGCCGGACAGACATTTTAGGCCAGAAGTTTGAACCGTGGAAAGTGAGCCAAACTGAGGTAAAGTCCACGGGTTCACTTCTGACCCCCAATCGATAAGGGTTTGGGTTCGGCCCAAAACATGTATCAAGCTGGAAGACAAAGACAATACATCAGCCTGGAAATGGAAGCCCGTCCGCCAAGTGTATCGTGCAATGCCTTCCAATGCTTTGGGGCGCAGTGAATCCTTGACTTCCTGGTCGTGACAATGATGTTATGGTGTTAATCGCGAGGGAGGTCAATGCAATATGCAGGTGCTTAGCATATGCTTAGCCTCCATGCGCGTCTGGGCGTGGTGGACCCATTCCCGGCTATTAATGGGCTGCCAGGACCAGTAATGAGCTTTCCTCAGTGCCAGGATGTGCTGGCAGGTGGCCTGCTCCAGCTTGTTACAGGCCCCTCGGGGACAATAGGCCTTCATACAAAAGTTACTCGTCGTATGCAGTGGGTACCCGCAGCTGGATGCATTGCATGGTTGCACAGCTGCACCACCATCCAACCACCTACCTCATACCGCTGCCCTTTGCCTTTCTTCTTCGCCCTTGACTTCATTTTGTTGGCGTGCACCGCATTGGATCTTTGCGCTGGCGAAGGCAGCTGGCACCCGCTTCGATAAACATAGAACACCCCCGCAGCTCAGGAGCCGAGAAGGCTTGCTCTTGGTGTTCAACCGACCTATCCAGCTAAGCCTGGATATCAACCAAATCGCGACACATCCCCCGAACAAGTAATCAGGCATGGCGGCACGCGAACGTAAATATGCCGGGCTCCCGGACATGGTATGCTTCTCGGGACTGGTTTAGCTCAATGCAATGTCGCGGTAGCTAACTGTTGGACAGGACGATGCCCCTGATATATACGAGACACCAGAACTGACTGATGATGTCTCCACGGTCCCAGTATGCTTCGCTCTCCTTGACCGCCCTTTCTAGTCGCGAGGCTCACGGATTATCCAGACGACGACAGCGCACACTCAATCGGACGATGAGTTCTTCGATGTCGAGGACGATACCCAACCGATCTCGCGGTCACGGCTCCGTATTAACGAAGCTCGTTCCAGATTTATGCCCGCAAACGTCGATGCCAGCAGTGTTGATTTCTCAGATCGCGTTGATGGGAAGCGAAAATCTTACAAGGCTTCAAGTCGCCGGCAACGAATCTTACAGGACGGCACGGAAGAGCTGGGCGATTTATCAGATGACGACGACGACGAGAGTCTTGAGAGGAGGATCGCCCGTCTGAAACGAGAGGTGGAGGAGGCCAAAGACGAATATTCCAGAAGGAAAGCTACGGCTTCATCTACGGAAGCGGGAGACTCGGACGCGGCGACCGAGCGCTTGGACAACCTGAGCCAGGTTCTGCTCCAGATATCTCAGCCTCTGGGAGTCACAACTGCCCTCCGACCGACCCAGCGCGCCCCGGAACCTGCTCAGGCAGACGATGCCGAGCTGTCAGGAGAAAAAGGCGCCACCTACACAATAACCTACGCCCCGTCGTACGAGCAAACCCACGCCTTGGCCAAGGCGGCCGATTTCGACCGCCGATTACTACTACTGGAGAAGGGCCTCGGTATCAGCTCCGCATCCATCCCTGAAGCAAACTCCGAAGGCATTCCCCGAGCCGTTCTGCCCACCCTCGACTCCCTGGACAAGCAGATCACAACGCTCTCACAGGCGACGACCGCCAACCTAGATGCGATCAGCCGGAGGGTGCGCACCCTCGCCCTGGAGCAGGACAAGCTCAACGAATCGCGGGAGAAGGCCAAGACGCTGAGGGAGGAGCTGGGGAAACAAGTCTCGACCCCCGGGGAGGAGGATTCCGAGCAGGACGCCAAGATCAACGCCCTGTACGCGATCCTGCCCACAATCGAGAACCTCACGCCCATGCTCCCGCCTCTCCTGGACCGCCTGCGGTCCCTGAAAGCGATTCACGCCGATGCGGCCACTGCCAGCGAAACGCTCGACCGGATCCAGAAAGACCAAGCCGACATGGCGGCCGAGTTGAAGCAGTGGAGAAGCGGTATCGAGAAGATGGAAAGCACAATGGGGAAGGGGGATGAAACCGTCAAAAGCAACATGAAAGTGATGCAGGGGTGGGTGAAGGATTTGGAAGAGAGGATGTCGAAATTGAATTAGTAGACATAAAAGCTACATATAGCATTCAGCGGTGTCGGGATACCCAAATAAAATGTCTTCATCTTTGTTCCCATTGAGCTGCCTTATGAACCAATTCAACAAGATACCTACCTACCTAGGTAAGTAACCATATTTAAGTGGTTGGGTTGAGGAGAGTTTGGTCACGTGCTTGGCTAAACGTGGGTTTATTAAGCCAAACTGGGGACGGAAACATTTCTTCCTCTTCCACCAATCTACAGATTCCATGGTAATGATGGCAATGTACCGATAACTCATCCGGAGTAGCACTGGTAAGTACTGTGCAATTTTTTCAATTTACGCTCCCTTACCCACTTGGAATGATGCTCTAATAAGCATGTATTACCTGAACATTTATGATGTTTTTTATCACCAAGATCTCTGACCCAAGAACTTGATTCACAATTATTTGTTATTGCCTCAATTGAGAAGGAACTTGCAGGCTAACATGTTCAAAGTTTAGTACAGCATCCTATCACCATGGCCGCTGCTACTCCAGACACCGGCGTTGAATACTTTGACATTCTGTACTTCGCCGGCGCGAGCTCGATTACTGGGAAGGAAAGGGAACAGCTACACGCTCCGCTACCACTGAGCCTGCTGTTTGCGCAGCTCGAATCCACGTACCCGGGGATCAAGACGCAGATCCTTGATTCCTGTCTCGTGACGGTCAACCTGGATTATATAGACGTGCCAGCTGAAACGGCTGCCGAGGGCGAAGGCTTGGTGATCCAGCCCGGCGATGAGGTTGCGATAATCCCCCCTGTTAGCTCAGGCTGAATGAAGGCCATGATAATCGAGCGGGACGCGTGAGGAAGTCTATGCACTGCGGAGTCTTTGCTAGTGCGTTGCTGTCTCCCCCCGGCGTCCGTTTGGCCGGTCCCTTGTAGAGCCGTGCGCGGTAGGAGTAGCTTTGAGATGCATCACTCTGCGCCCTGTCCTGCCCCTTGTGACCGTAGGAGCGGCTCCTGCTCTCTGTCGCGATTCTGCGCTGGCCGAGCTCGCCAAGGAACCCGCCATGCCTTCTTTCTCGCATACCGTCGGATGCGTAGCGCTGCAAGGATGGTGAGAAATGCCAGGAGAAGCACGACAAAGGTGCCCACGATCGAGACAGTCGCAGTGAGCGTAGTTACGGATGAGACATTGCAGCCCAGTGGTCGTGTCCTGATTTCCCATTGCTCTTGCCGGGCTGGGCAGATTTGCTTGTCATATGCTGGTGCGAGGAAGGGGATCCTGTGTGAGTTGGGAACACAGGACCAAGACTTGACATCTCGTTCATCAGTACCTACTAGCTACCGCGGGTGCATGCTTTAGGTTTGAAACAGCATGACTTACGTATGGACACCAGCTACATCCCTCTGCGTCCAAGCAATTGGGGCAGCTGGTTCGCGACCAGCATCGGTAGAAATGCTCTTTGTCGGTCTCGCTGGCGGAGAAATTGCTGCGTAGCGCGTTTATCACGCTGGGCTCCATTATGTTATAAAAGAACTGGTCAACTCAGTTCATAGTGGGGTCAAGATCATGGAGGTGATGAGGTACGATTGCGTTCAGGCTGTGGCGGGGTGGCAGATCAGACGATGATGTGTGTGTGCACGGTCCAGGCTGGTGGCATCCAGACACGTGCAAGTGACGGTATGCAGGCTGTGTCACAAACCACCGCCGCGTAGCCTTGGATACCTTAGGTATCTTGTAGTATGGCACAGGGTCTGGACAATAGGTAGGATAAAGTAATTGGAGTATGAATTGATCGCAAATATGACATTCTACTATATTGCCAAACGCCACACGCCACACGCCACACAAGACAAATGGCAAGTGCGAGCCGCTAAATACCTAACCAACCAGCGACAATGGGGTCTGGCAAGCACTGGTGCCTTCCACCCAACGAAATAAACACATTCTGTCGTCACATCGTTCATTTTCTCTTTTCTGCATCCGCTGTCCTATCCAGGGATTGACCGACAAAAGGCAATATCAAACAAATTAGGACACGCTGCCTAGCTTGTAAGTGCTGCCGATACTTAGCCTTTTACCCAGAAATAAGGCAGTTGTCCCCTAGCGCATGTCATGAAGCTCCTGCCGATCAGCTGCACAGGAGTCATGCAGAGCCGATGATGGCTTGAACCAGGCCATGGAAGCTCCTCTTCATTACGGCAGTTGTCAGCCACATTCTGCCTATGTAGGCAGGTTCCTACGGCTCGTAGCAATGGCGGGATCATCAACTGCCAAGAGCAGTCTCCGATTCGCGATGCCACTCCCCTGTTACGATAGGATAGGATATCTAAAGCCACGAGCTCAACAACAATCACCATGTCAGCGTATCATGCCACATCAGACCGGCTGATAATGCCGCCTTCAGGCCCATTGAGTCGTCATGTCAGCCGCATCACAACTATCGAGATCCAGTTGTTCCCCATCTCTTTCTTTGCCTTTCCGGTTTCCAATCCCCTATGCAGGATAGAGGGTACTCGACCTACGCGGCAAGACAAAGTGCCTAAATGTACACAGACCCCGGATTTAACCATAATATGAATCCCAGCCATTGACAGACTGACGACGACATTTGAGGCACAGGGTCATGCCGAAGTCGGCCTGGTCCGGTCTGGCGGCACTGCAAGCGATCAAGAGCCCCATTCCTTGGCAATTGATCAGCCTGACCGGTGACAGCCAGGAGGCTTTTCTCTCGAGTGCTGACGATGGATACTAGCCCAGAATTGAGGCGCAAGGTTGTATAACCACATATTACGCGACCCCAGCAATTGAATGAACTGAACACACCCCAATAACAGCCCCAGCGTGGGGGTGGTTTTCTCTGGGTCTCTCTCCGAGCTTTCTCCTCACTCCGGGTGGGTTCGTTGGATGGGGAGCTCCGCACGGCGATTGCTACTTGCGACATAATAAGAACTGGCTGAATAGCAGTCCTCTACATTGTTCAGCTGCCGGGAGTTTGGATAGCATGGATCAAGTCACCGTTCTTGGCGGAGTAGAGCCGTTCTTGACTTGCATATCCGCGTGATTTTTGGGGCCAGTGAATACAGCTATATTCTTATATACCCAAACCAAGCCCTCATCATCTGTAGTCGCTTTATGCTGAACCAGTGTTGACAATGGATAGACCTTAGCATACCCCACTACATACCTTTTGGCCCGTTTACAACAACCCAAATCATGCATTTACGAGAAACAGGAAGAAGAAACTTATCCAAAGGCGTAAAGTTGGATCATGATACCCGCCCACTCGGGGCCTCATCACCTAATTCATCTCCACACATCCCCATGTTGATCGAACAGAGGGCCCGCGCTATAGTAGGCGGTTTGTGTTATGGAGCAAGCTGGCGTGCCATCATGCTCTACCCTGTCCGTCGTATCAGCGAAAGTCGTAATGGGCCCGTTTGCTTGTGTATAAGAAGGAGCTGGTGGCCAGGTCCCAGTCTTCATGATGTAGATCTATCATCAGGTCCTCCCGACTCAAAACCATTAAGAACACTCAACTCCCAGGGTTGACTCTGCTCTTCCCATCCTCCTTTAAATATGGCCCGCCTTGATCTTCTGAGCAAGTTCAAGGCTAAGACTGTGGACCAGTCGGCAGCCGCCCAAGATGACGCTCCCAGGTTTGAGCATGTTATCTGGTACAAGGACCCGGGTCTGAGGAAGCTTTACTTTTATGCCGGTGTTCTCTGTATTGCTTCTGCAACCAACGGATATGATGGGTGAGATCTAACCAAAACCCCGTCCCTACCCAGAAATACCCCAATACCATCATTTATCCGTCGATTTACAATCATATCTGTGGCATACTAACCGTGAGTCCCACAACTCAGGTCTTTCTTCAACGCTGTCCAAAATTTCGAAACCTGGCAGTCATATTTTGACCGCCCTAGCGGTTCATTCCTGGGTCTTCTAGTTGCTCTTTACACAATTGCTTCCCTGGTCTCCTTGCCACTGGCGTATGCTTCTAGTTTTCTGATATTCCCACATCGTCTGTCATCTACTAACTAGAGCGCTTGTGTAGCCCTTTCCTGGCGGATCGATTGGCCGCAAGCCCCCCATTATCTTGGGATGTTGCTTCATGATTGCCGGGGCTGTAATTCAGGGAGCTGCCACCAGCATCGGTATCTTCACCGGTGGGCGTATCCTCCTTGGTTTCGGCGTGTCTTTCACCCAGCTCTGCTCTCCCACGCTTCTGACCGAGGTCTGCCACCCCCAGCATCGTGGACGTCTCACCACTGTCTACAACTGCCTGTGGAATGTCGGTGCTTTGAGTGAGTATCCCTTCCCCGGAGTAGAAATAAGGGAAAGGGTTGTGCCAAATATCTGTACCGGCGACTAACCGTGAATAATCAGTTGTCTCCTGGCTCTCCTTCGGCACAAACTACATCAGCAACGACTGGTCCTGGCGAGTCCCCGCCATCCTACAAGCATTCCCCTCCGTCATCCAGCTCATGTTCATCTGGTGGGTTCCCGAGTCCCCCCGCTTCCTCATCGCCCACTACAAGTTCGACGAGGCGCTCGACATCTTCGCCAAGTACCACGGCAACGGCGACCGCAACCACCCCACCGTCCAGTTCGAGTTCCGCGAGGCCCGCGACACCATCAAGATGGAGCTCCAGAACAAGAAGACGACCAGCTACCTGGACTTCTTCAGGACCCCCGGAAACCGCTACCGCCTCATCACCCTCATCTCCATCGGCTTCTTCTCCCAGTGGTCTGGAAACGCCATCATCTCCAACTACACCAACCTCCTCTACGAGGGCGTCGGCATCAAGAGCTCCACCACCAAGCTCGGTGTAAGTAACCCCAATTGTTCTTCCCGCTTTTCCAACTTTGCCAGTTTCTTGAAAAGTAAGCTAATCTTAAGCAACCAGCTCTCCGCCGGAACCACCTCCATCGCCCTCATCATCTCCGTCACCATGGCCCTCCTGGTCGACAAGATCGGCCGCCGCCCCATCTTTATCCTCGCCACGGCGGGGATGTTCCTCACCTTCATCTTCTGGACCCTCTCCTCCGCCCTCTACGAGGAGCGCCGCTCCCCGGGGGCCAACCACGCCATGATCTTCTTCATCTGGCTCTTCAACATCTTCTACTCCACCGCCTGGGTAGGGCTCGTCATCGGCTACTCCCTCGAGATCCTCCCCTACAAGCTCCGCGCAAAGGGCCTGTTCGTCGTCCAGGCCTGCGTCAAGGGCCGCCCTCGCCCTCAACAACTACGCCAACCCCGTCGCCTTCGAGGCGTTTGCGGGCCACAACTGGAAGCTCTACCTCATCTACACTGTACGTCTTGTTGTTTCGCAAAGAACATCATCATTTGATGTACCACATTGGAAGGCGAAAAAAAAACTGACAAATCATCTATAGTGCTGGATCGGGTTCGAGCTCGCCTTTGTATACTTTCTCTACGTCGAGACCAAGGGTCCCACCCTGGAGGAGCTCGCGAGGGTGTTTGATGGCGACGACGCCCAAGTCGCCGAGTTGAACTTGGAGCAGGTCGAGAAGGAGGCCGAGATCTTGGCTGCTCATGACGAGGCAGTACCTAATCAGAAAAGGGCCTAAACGACGATATGAATGACGAGTGATGTACATGCTATTTGCACTTTAGTAGATTATATACCCTATACAGGCCTATATTATGATATGTTTTGTGCCGAAAGAAGGTAGATAGTCAGATAAACTGTGTCAAGATGCTTATAAAAGAAGCTTAGGTATATTTTGATCTATCTTATTATCGGGACAGTAAGGATTACCATGGCTGTAGTCATAAATGATGAATTTGGTGACAATAGTATAATGATGGTGAGCCTAGGTTACCAAATCCATGAGTATGATCTAACGATGGAAAGCCATTTCAGCCATATACAGTGATTTAATTTATAAAACAAGGTTAAAAGCAATTGAAAAGGCCACTCGATCCAAAAAGAGTATCATATAACATCCGAGCCCTCTTGCATCCTCTTACGAGATGCCCGAACTTGTTGCTTTAGCTTTCTTATCTTCGCTCGCCGCCGCTTCACTTGCTTCTCCTTGTCTTCGGCTGGCTGGTCTTGGCCCAAAGCACTCAAAGCCATGAGTTCCGAAAGGAAACGCCGAACGTTAAGTCCCGTGTTCTTATGAACAGTTGTATGAACACTCTCGTCGCAGGCTGCCGCCGCCGCGATGTGTAGGCCTTTGAGCACGACTCGATCGTTGACTTGAGCCGTGCCTGAGCTACTTTCGCTCGTAGTAGTCTGGCATCTCCTGGAAGATACTCGGCAAGGGATATCGGGAGGCTTTGGGGAAGAGAACGTTGTGCGGAGGTGGGGAGGGAGCTGCACCGGGTAACGGCCGGGATCTTGGCGAGATAGTTCCCGCACCGCTTTAGCAGTCAGCCTGTCGCTAAAAACGTCTCGTAGAGAGTATGCTTGTGCTGCCTTTCCAGCTAGGTGACGGCGTAAAGGTGGTAGCTCAGGAATAGACATGGCGTCATAATCAACCCTGGTTTGTTGTGATTGATTATGGGGGACGTGGTCCTTTTGCCTCTGGGATTCTCGTAGACTGCCATTGCCTGGCCGACAGGAAACTTGATCTGAGTTGCTGGCATCCATACTAGACTTGTAGGCGGCATAATCATGTGGGAATAGTTGAATTTCCTGCGGCTCACGCGGAGGCTTATATTTTCTTTGCCTTAGAAGACGCGGTGAAGCTATAGTCTTGCGTTTCCTTCGTAAGCCCAATACTGCGTTCAATGTGTTTGCTTTGGGAACTCTGATCGTGGGCTCATCACTATCATCAGTTTCGAGATATATTGAACTTGAATGTCCATCTTTCTGAGAATAGTGGGACGAAGGGACTTGCGAGATCACGTCTCTAGATTCGCTGCTATGTCTTGGCTTCGGTTGTTGGGATAGCCGCCTGACATATCCTGGGGGGATTTTGACGCTCCGATGGGAGGACTTTTTACTGTTCAATCGAACCCGTCGCTTTGGGAGGCAAGGCAAACAAGATCGCCGTGAGCGAGGTCTATATGGGAACAACACGTTCCTTCTTGGTGGTAGCCTGTCAATAAGGGATCTTCTCCATACGTCTGTATTCGTCGGACTTGTAAAATCAACGGCTGTGGTCGGTTCTGAAAGGCTATTGACCTTGCCATCCACCTGTAAACCCCGAAACCGCTTGGAATTAACTGCACCACGGTGGCGGGCACGAGGCCTGTGCCCGGCAGCCTTCACTTTTGTCGATGCTTGAGCATCCTGATGTCGTTGGTCTTTGGAGGTTACCGCTAGTCCAGCAGCGTTGAACTCGGAACGAAAGGGGAGTAACGCAGAAACCGTGCGCAAAGTGGCTGAAGATTTGGAAGGTGTTGGCGTGAAGGTGGGAGACTTTCCTGCCGCGCCTACAATTTCCGCATACCGCTGGAGTTCCTTTGTGAACGTATCAAGTGCTCTGACTTGGCTCGGAGATCGGGACGCATTGTCTTGGACATTTCGTGAAGAATCCCCGGGTCTATTTAAATTCTTTGGCGAGTTTGCCTGGGATATAGCGCCAATCTGTTCAGCAACGCTCTTTGTTATTATATCGACCAAGTCAGTGTCTACGTGGCTGCGCCTCGGAGACCTTGGACTCGCCACGCCTTTTGCTGTGATAGAACTTGGGCTATGGCCGTATGAGCCCGTGTTTATTGAAGGGTTCTTGGATGGCAATTTTCTATTATAAACCTGCTGCCTCAGAAGAACTCTCGCTGAAGATGGGTCGTTCGTCGATTTGTATATTTGTGAGGTCTTCGTCGCACCATCATGAACCGAAAACTGCAAGGGGCATGGGTTATTATTGTGAGAAGGCGGAAGAGGGAATGAATCAATATCAATAGTGCCGTCTGATTGCGCCGATATGCTCTGAGATGGTGAACCCGATTCAGGGATGTCCGCAGTAGTGACCCTTCCTTGAACGCTGGAGCCATCTGGCTTTGGTACTGAGATTTCTGCTGCCCTATTTCCGCTATAAGAAGGCGCCGAGGTATCTTTTCCAGAAAATTTCGAGTTCTGGTTTTGCTGAGCGGTCGATTGCGGGGAGACAACTCGTCGCTGAGGCCGGGACGGGTGTCTGGAAATGATCAAAACACGAGAGCGGCGTCGAGCTCGTTCAAAGGAGGAGACCCGAGGTTGACGAGATTGGTTGGTCCTACTATCCAAGTTGGAATGAGAAACCTCTGGGATAGATGCTAGCGGTGTCATTGTAAGAATTTTCCAAGAAAGATGGACATGCCCATGATGGTATGAGAGGGCCAAGACGGAGTGGGAAATGATACATGTTGTGATCTTGGACTCTGAAAGAGCCACTTTCCCCAGTTCAGGGAAACCGCGAGGCTGCTTCATGTACAGAGGTAAGGAAGTCTATATGATACATGGTGGGCAGGCAGCAGCGAGTTTGAGACTGCCATGAAACATGAGAAGAAGTAAGAAAATGCAACCGGGGAATATGCCTAAAATCAAGGTGCGTATTACACAATTCACTGCTAGTTGATACTGGCAAAGAATAGTTTCGTCGACATGATGTCGTGGTGATGCAACGAGGATGATATTGAGTCATCAATGAATGTCCTTGATTCCGGGAGAGGCATAGTTTTCGAGTTGCCTGCGCCCTTTGCGAATGAGGAATTCAATTGCGGCGAAATCTCGTTTATCAAGGGCCAGATTCCGAGTGAATTCCGTCCTGCAATTGACATGTAAGTAAGTGTAGTTGGGGACTCGTGCAAAATTTGAGCCAAAGTGACGAAGAGTGAATGCTACCAACCTAGCAAACTGCTCAAAGTGCGCGCGTGTGCTCTACATCCAAGAAGAAAGGGGTATTAGTGTAAGTGCTCAGCATTATTCAGGTTATAAGTCCAAGCATTAGATGCTGCGATTGAAGCTACGGGAGACTTACCTCGGGCTTCTTCCGACTCTCCCGTAAGCACCGGCGGTAGAGCGCCAGCACCTCTTTTTGCAGACCAGAAAGACGCATTGCGACTCGAAATAACAATCGTTCCGGTCCGGCACGCTTCGATGAAAGCTTTCGCCAATTGGATGCAGATAGGAAGAGCCAGTTCGGTAATGAAGTCAACGGGAAAAACAGCGTGAAATCCTACCCTGCAGTTTACCGAGCACCCGTTCGACCAAGCTTGAGATACAGCTACCCTATACACAATCTACACCTTATCTCATCCCCAGCTAAAGAAAGCACCAGCCCCGGAAATAATTAATGCTTTGTTGAGCTCTCTCTATTCCGTTATAGGTAATTAGCTCATCGGCTTCTTCAGGCTACTTCGGCGGCGATTCCTCCGATATCCCCTCCGGTTGTATTTATAACCACCGCCACTATCCGTCTTCTCGATTGCATCGCATATTTTCTCAATACCACGGATCTTGAAGCTCGGATCATCGTCCTTAACTTGTCTTTACGAAAACACGAAACTTGGTAACCTCATAATTTATTGAAAATATGTCTGCGTTTTCGGTAGGTGGACGAGTCTTATCAACCCCAGCACGTCATCCGGCTACCAATCGTACCTTGTCTCATATTGCATTCCTTCATAGCATCAAATGAACAAGATAAAGAAGAAAAACACGTACCGGAAAAATTAAAGAAGGATGTCACTGACACCCTACTCTCATAGCGACTCGTCCGCTTCGTCGCGAGAGATGGCCGAACCTACCACGGCGACGCCATCCTCCCTCGGGGTATAACCGACATCGCGAAGGCCAAGCAAGCCCGGATCATAGCCGGCGATGTATTTGGACAGCATCAGGTCACTGACGAGGTCCTCGACATCGGCCTGCTTCTCGCACCGCTCTCCTTGTCTCAGACCAGGACTGTCCGGTGCCTCGGCCTCAACTATGCCCTCCACGCCAAGGAGTCGGGCATGGCAGAGCCAAAATTTCCCATTCTCTTCTACAAGCCCGTGACCGCCTTGGCCAGCGCCAGCGACCCTATTCCCATTAACTCCATGGCTCAGAAAGACACCGGAATTGATTACGAATGCGAGCTTGTCATTGTCATCGGCAAGCGATGCAAGGAGGTGTCAGAGGCGGAAGCCCTGGACTTTGTCCTCGGATACGCCATCGGCAACGATGTTTCTCACCGTGACTGGCAGATCAAGAATGGGGGTAGCCAATGGTCGCTCGGCAAGGGATTTGATGGCTGGGCGCCGTACGGCCCGGGTATTGTGAGTAGCCGGGTCATCAAGGACCCTCAGTCTCTCAAGATCTGGACCAAGGTGAACGGCGAGACTGTTCAGGTAAGTACCATCATACGCCACGAGCGGGGTTCCCGTATCGCCAAGACGATCGGTTTCTGATAGCGGTTTGGGATTTATAGGACGGCAACACATCTGATATGATCTTCAATGTGAGGAAGACTGTCTCATTTCTCAGCCACGCAGCAACTCTGCTGCCAGGAGACCTAATCTTCACCGGAACGTAAGTGATACCGGATCTTCTAAACAGCGAGTAGCCTTATCGTGACTGAGCTAACGTCTCGAAAGGCCATCTGGAGTAGGAATGGGCCGAAAACCCCAGGTCTGGCTCAAGGATGGCGATGTCGTGGAGGTTGGACTTGAGCAGGTTGGTACTTGGTAAGTCTTCCCTAAGAGGGCCTCTGAAAGGCTATTATTTTGATCAAAGTCGAGATGATAAATGGATTGATGGTTGCTAACTTGGTAGTAGCACCAACAAGGTGGAGTTTGCCAAACCAGGCTCTAAGCTGTAAGCTTTTGGAGATCACCAGATTGCAAAGTGTTGCGTCCTTAAATGCGATTGTGAGAGGGACTGAGGCGGCATATCTCTTGGCAGAGGATTTGTGCATGGTGGAATATAGAAATATTCGATCGCTTCCGATGGATGTAATGCATGCTGAAGGAGATTGCAGGGTTTGCACCCATCACATACGCGGCAGTTCGTGTTCGAGGCAGCTTTGTGTTGACCCATTTATGCCTGGCTATTCCCAGGCACAGACTGGGGAGCTCGTCATTCAATCAAACCACTGGATCGGTACAGCATGCCGAATAGAGTATCATCCAAGCAATGACCTTCCTGATGTAGGTGTTCTTCTGGGTTTGGCGACCGTGAACCTCATTCCAAATTACCTGATACTACCTGATATGGGTCCAGATGGCTTCACCAACAGCCAATACTCCCAAGCAATACCCAACACTCGCATGGTATTTCTGGGGCGTCAAGGATCTCCTATGTGATCTCGAAGATGAGTACCCACATGAAACCAATCAATTATTTGCTACATTCCAATTCTAGAATCAGTCTGTTGCTCGATAGTTTTTTTCCGCGACTGTCATTGCGTTCCGGGCTGCTTCTTACTGGTTCTAGCGTGTGGATTAGTCGTGCATCTCGAGAAGGCGTGCGTCCAACTGAGGTTCCTATTGGACCGTCCCCCAGCTCGTTCCCTGAACCACGGTGCCTGGAATAGGAGCACCGAAAAGCCATCGGGCACTCTCGTAGCTCATCCCCACCCACATCGCACGCAAGAAGGACGCCAGTGGCACAAGTGCGCCCGGCCAGGCAGCCTGCAGCCGTGGACGGGCGGGTCCACGGACTCATCTGCCTGTATGCATACTCTGGGCTAATTGATGAATGGCCCAGTGGACCAGGGATTCCAACCGAGCACCTCGTGAGTGCGGCTGACGGCGTGTTTGCCTGCTTGGTAGGTGCCAGAGCTTGCATTTCTAGGCACGCCAGTCGAGGCAGTGTTGCATAATCTCATTGGCCGAGGCTTTCGCAAATCTGCCCAGTGCCCTGTAGTGCCTCCTTTCCTGCAGGGCTGATGGGCGTTTTCCTTCCCGCTATCGCCCAGATTGATATGTAAGATGTGGTGAGCCCAACGTGGTGCTGCTGGCCGCCAACTACTTCTCCTCTGCTGCCGTGTCCTCTCCTCAAATAGGTCGCGTGCCTTGTCCCGTGTGCACACCCGTCTGTCATTGTTGAAGCTTCACCCATTTCATTCCATAGGCCCTTCAGTCTAACCCCCCTTGAGGGGCCACCTACTGAAACGGACGAGGATTGCCACCACCATGGCCGCCTTCCCAGGACTCGGAGAGAAAAAGATCATGCCTGGCACATATGAGCCTACGGACTTTGAGGATCTCGAATCCAACCCCTTCGAGCTCCTGACGCAGTTTCAGGATGAGTGGAGGAACAGAGAGCGGCCGGATGCATGGTCGACCAAGAATTTAACTGCCCTGGATCTCACTGACGTGGACTGGCAAGCCTATAATCCACCTGCTTCTGTTTTCAACTTATCAGGTATTGACTCTCAGTTGCTGGCCAAAATAATCCATACTTCAGTTGAAAATGTCAACGCCAGGTCCGCGCACGAAAGGGGGCAGAGGCTGGAAATCGAGGAGCTACGCGCTGCAGCTGAAAAGCAGGCGGCGCAGAAGCCAAAGGAGATTGAATACCTCCCCATTATCATCCCACCAGAACGTCCAGAACCTTCCGATGTAGATTCAATCGCTGGTTCAGAAAATGCATCCATTGCCCGGATGCAAGCTATAAATGCACTGAATGACGGTGGGAGGCGGCCTTCACAAGCCTCGTCAATGACCGACCCCTCCAGCAAGTCCATCAAAGGTCGCAAGGGACGTTTCAGAAAGCTACTCGATCGTGTTGGCGACTTTGGCGAAACGGGTTCCTCAGGTAGACTTGGCTTGCTCCCACCACTCCCTCCTTCGGACCTCGTTGGAGAGAATGCTCTGCCATTCCCCAATAGCCTACAGTCAGGATCCCGACAGGGACATAGAGGCTCTACGATCCAGGAACTCGGTGCCACAATCAGAGCCAATATCGAAATGTTACAATCCAGATCAACTTCGATCTATGAGTTGAGCTCGGTAATCCCGGTCCAGGAATTGCCTGGAAGCACCGTAATGCCAAGATCGAAATCGGTCAAACACCCTCCCCCACCACCGGCAATGGTGTAAGTAACATTTCTCATTTATCAATACGTCAACTCCTTCTTCTTGAGCTAATTGATTCGTAAAGGGAATGCGTTTCGTGCTTAGAAGAGTTCCCTCCTGGCAACGTGGTCAAGGTTCCGTGCCACAGCTACTGCCACGAGTGTTTTGCTGGATTGATCTCTGCTGCGTGCCGAAATGAACAGCAATGGCCGCCCAAATGTTGTCTGAATGAGATCCCCTTCCGCACTATCCTGCGGTACGTTCCCAAAGACTTGAAGCAAAGGTTTCAGGATCGATCTTCAGAGTGGAATGTCCCTGTCAATGAGCGCATCTACTGCAGCACCCCTGACTGCAGCCTGTGGATAAGCCCAGAGAATATCCGCAAGAATGCAAACAAGGCACGTTGCGAGCGCGGCCATTGGACTTGTACGATATGCCGAGGACCTCAGCATGACCGGGGAGAATGCCCCCAAGATCGAGACATGAATCTGACTAACCAGCTTGCTGAGGAAGAAGGATGGAAGCGATGCTACAACTGCCAAGCCTTGGTAGAGCATAAGGAGGCCTGTCAGCACATGACTTGTAGGTGCGGAAGCCAGTTCTGTTATGTGTGTGGCTTGCGATGGAAGACCTGTGGCTGCACGATGGAGCAACTAAAACAAGTCAAGGACGCTGCTGCAGCCCGTAAGGAGGAGCGTCAACGTAAGGAGGCGCAAGAGTCAGAGGAGCTGCGACAGATGCTTGCCGAGATCGCGGAGTTTGAACGCCAAGAGGCTCTCAAGGCCGAGATGGAAAGGCAAGAGAATATTAGGCTGGAGGAGCTTCGCCAGCAGCAGGAGCTTTTAGAACGGGTCCGATTGGAGTGTATTCGAAGACTGGAAATTGAGGCCAAGTTCCTTGAGCTGCGAGTGGCGCTCGACCGGCTCCATGACCGGCAGGTGATCCTGCTCGCCGAGGAACAGGTCGAGGCAGAAGCAAAACTAGCGGAAGACTATGAAGCTGCTAAAGTGCGGCTCGAGCAGAAACAAGTCGAAGACCGCGGCCAGCTCGAAATCAGCATCCAGACGAGAATTTCCGGCAAGGACGAAGCATTCGGTCAGGAATTCAGCGTAAGATCTGCCCTGGAAACGAAGATTTTAGAAGAGTTCCATGTACAGCTACTGGAGTACTGGAAGATCCGACCTAATGGGGAGGGAGAGATTGAGAAAGCCATGGCGCTGCTACGCAAAACCATGGAACAATACTACCAGGCGTGGAAGGAGTGGCGAGACCGACAGCAAGCTGCATACAGTGAACAGCTGGAGGAAGAGCGCATTATCATGGGCGAGCTTGTGACCAGCGGCAATGAACGCCTCAAGGAGAAGCACGAAGAGAGCGTCAGAGACATGGGCCGACGGAAAATTGCTGAGAAGAAGTGGCTGCGCACAATCGCAGCAGAACGGGAGAAGCTGTTGGCCGAGGCGGAGGAACAAGAAATGGAAGGCGAGGCCGACACCATGTTCAGCTCGGAGAGCAGGAAGAGGGCTTTGGCCAACGGGGAAAGACCAGCCACGGCCGGACCTGCCCCCAAAGAGCCTCTCATAGTCCAGCCCATGACTGTCCGATCAGCTCTTACAGCAAGTTCTCCGGTATCGCCGCGCACTCACATTGGACAGGCACTGTGATTTACAGATCCATTAGCACAAAGAGGACTCTGGGCTATCACGCCGAGCACTGCGATGAGGATTTGCCCTCGGGAGGTCCCATTTTATGCTACCGATAGAATAAATATCCCAATAAAAACCCCTATACCTATAAATCTTATAGAGAAAAGTGCCTAACCAGTGGCATTAAGTATTCCCTGCGAGACTGTGCTTATCGTCTTGGGAAGAGCCATGCCGTCCATCACTCGAACCTCCTCCCCAATAATTTCACGCCAGATTCATGATAAAAGAAAAAGAATGAGAAAAAAAAACTTGATCGTAATTGTTTGATGTATTGTTTGCCTCACAAACTCCTGGATTGATGTAGTTTGATTGATAATACTTAGCTGTATCTCGGTATGCTGTTGTGTTAGTCAAACCCCACCATTTGGCCTTTTTTTCGCAGGTATTTTTTTCTTTTCTTCTAGATCACTGACGATCAGACTCTCCCATTCCCCAACCACAAATATCCCGCTCAGCGGATGAAGTATCAGGCCCAAATATCTCAATCTACTTAATACTCATCCTATATCTCCATACTCCTACGCCATACACCATGCTTCCAGTCCCTGAATCGCAGACTGCGTCCCCCCAGTAAGCCCCACCATATCCATCCTCCACACCCACCATCATCTCTCTTCTCAACATCTTGCCCCAGCTTGGCGACTCTGTAGCTAATTCGTGAGAAGCCCTCTAAAGATATTCGACACGGCAAGAAAAAATGATAAGTTCCTGTATGCCTGTGCGCCAATGGTGCGCTACAGCAAGGTCAGCCAGTCTCCTCTTCCAACTCACCCTTCACTCTCAATACCCATTTTGAGTCATCAAGTGACCGCTAACAAACTCCTCCTCTTCAGCTTGCGTTTCGTCAAACCGTCCATCATTACGGCGTGGATCTCTGCTGGACACCCATGATTCTCGCCAAGGAATTCAATCGAAATACATTTGCACGGGACAGTGGTAAGACAACCATCTACTCATTCAGTCATGCCCTTTCTTCGTTTAATTCACTCCATCATGTCACTTCAGTTGAATATAGCTGACTTGGGACGATTATTTCCATCCCTTAGATCTCACCGTATCAACAAAGGGCATCATGCCTCATACCATCCTTCAATTTGGCGCCAACAGCCCCTTGGAGCTCTCACGGGCATCCTCCCTCGCCGCGCCATGGGTCAGTGGCGTCGATCTCAACTGCGGATGCCCCCAATCATGGGCTTGTGCCGAGACCTTGGGTGCCGCTCTCATGAACAAGAGAGAGCTTGTTCGCGACATGGTCGTAGAGACAAGAAGCCGTCTAGAGCAAGACGGCTGGGGTGTTGGGATGGAAAAGGATATTGATAATCCCAGGGGTAGGAGTGTCAGTGTCAAAATCAGGATACACGACGATCTAAGGTGAGCACCCTTCTCTCTTGCGTGCATGAACTACTCTCAGGGGAATCTAGCTAATGCTAATCATCACCACGAATAATCGGTATAGGAAAACAATGGATTTTCTTGACACTGTTATAGGCCACCCCCAAAACCGCCAGGTTGATTGGGTTACTATACATCCACGAACCCGCAATACAACATCAACAACGCCAATCCGAACGGAGGCCCTTGAAATTCTCACAGCTAAATACTCGCCGATGCTCCCTATCCTACTCTCTGGCGACGTGTTTGATATCAACTCCCTTCCCTTCCATCCATTCGCCACGCAAACTCCCTTGGGAACAGAGATGGCGACGCTGACCCTGAATGACATCCTGCCCCGTGATATCAACAAGGGTATTGTGGAAACAGATCAGGGAGCTTCCCCTGCCCCTGCCCCTAGCAACACCAATCTATCGGGATTCATGTCGGCTCGTGGCCTGCTCTCTAACCCGGCTTTGTTTGCGGGATACTCATCATGTCCCTGGGAGGCCGTGGAGCGTTTCATGTGCAATGTTGCCGCTGCCCCGTTGCCCTATAAGCTTGTTATACACCATGTCCAAGAAATGTGCTCTCCAGGCATGGGTATCGATAAATCGGCGCTGCTGTCCAGAAAGGAAAGGACACGATTTTCCGAGATAGCCAATATGCTGGAGCTGATCGATTTTCTTGACGAGAAGATTGAAGAGCACACTGGTCAGACTGGGGGCCTTAGGCGAGAGTTTTGAGGGAAATTGGTCAAGAAGATGATAGCATGTGCATCTGTCAAGACTAGTACTTGTCGTTCCGCCTACGGCACTGGGATTCTCTATGCCGAAGCCACACACGGTACTTCAAGGTCCGGGCTACGGTTCAGTTCATAAGCCAGTTTGCTGTCGTTGGTATACGACTCACAGACCAGCCAAGACGCCTTGAATGCCAACAGAACCCGCGTCATCACGCTTTTGCACGAAGGCTCTGAAGTCGGCCTTGGTCAGCTTCCCTCGTGTCGATGAAGACTGTGCAGATGACAACGCTCGCGATTTTTCCTTCAAAGCTTCAGGCCCAACGATGAAGAGTGAGCCAATCTCGGTTAGCATCTCGACCGTAGTCGCTATGTCCTTACTGAGAGACCATTCCTTCAGTGTTTGGACATATTTTGAAATGTCCTGAGTGACCATCAAACCACCAGTCGCATTGACCTGGAACTTTTTGAAGTGGTCAAAAAGGTGTTGAAGGATAACCAGCGCTAGCTCACTAAAGAACTTTTCGGCATTCTGCCCATCAATGGCTTTCGATGCATTCTGGTGAACACGACTCAAGAATGTACACAGTGCAGAACAGGTCGAAGTCTGGAGTGAATCCAGCGCTCCGTCTCGGGGACGGAAATCTTGCTTCTTCTGGGTGCTGAGCGCCTTTGTTGTCCAGTTTGAGATCACGTCAATAGAAGCCTTGATAACGTTGTTTGTTTTCTTCTCAATCGAATCCACGCCGGTTTTCTTTTGCGCTTCCATATTCCTCCTCACAGTGGCGCTGGACTCTGCAAGTCGGATCAGAACAACGGTGATGAACCTATCCATAATCGCAGTAATAGAGACGGCTGATTGAATCTGCATCATATATGACATGTCTGGTTCAGTCTTCGAATTTTCAAGAAAGCTAGCCTGGTAGAATGCTGCGTCAAGGCTAGTGTGAATGTAAACCTCGCCCATGTTAGTCAGTAGTAGGCTGAGCAAAACATTGACATCTTTAGGTGTCTCTGCCTGTGAGCCAAGTTCCAGGGTGCGTTGGACACTCTCTGCTAGCCACTTTAGCATTCTCTTTGCATTGGCGATGCTGAGTGTGCCATCTTCGTCTGAAACCTCAATTTCGTTCTTGTTCTCTCTGTCCACAATTCCGGCAACTCGCAACATCATAGCTTTCTGGGTTGCCGTGAGTTCAGAAGACTCAAGTCTTTCGATGTAGGCATCTTTAGCTGCAGAGATAAGCTGCGTGCCCTGCTGCGCTAGCGAGGCCATGAATCCAGTTGGCACCTTCTTCCTCCGGGAATGGAAAATTGAGTATTTGAACAACAGCGACCCGTACATTTCCTCGAGACTCCTCTTCTCTCGCTCTATGTACGTATTTCCAACCATGTAAGGAACAAAAAGCTCCTCCATCTGCTGGTCCAATGTCTGAGCGATTTGGGCAGTGCATGGCTCTGGGTGCTCTGTCAGTCCATGGGTCTTCAAATCCTCCACCAATGCGTTGATATAACTTCTTGACGCATGTAGAGATCGCAGAAACGCCAGCGAAGATATAGTCTCGGCTTTATCCAAGACCTTCTCTAAACGTTGCTGGATGGACTGTTGGAACACTCGTTGGATAAACTTGACCAAGACGATCTCATAGTACGGGAAGGCCCGCTTTATGATGAACGATTCCTCCTGCATGACCAATTTAACCTCGTCAACGAGAGACTGAAGAGACGGTTCAATTCCAGGAGATTCTTGGTCGGGGTCTGCCAGCTGGTCCCACGTTTCACCGTCGGCGGTGACTTCGTCATTCATGAGTTGGTCGCGGTCGATGAAGAATTGATGCTGGTTTACAAAAGTTGCGATTACGCTTGATCCTCCACTAAAGTCTTGTAATACTTTGGCACATTCCCTCATGTCGTCGAAATTTTGTCGGCGATAGCTATTGTTGAACTGCTGGAGCAAGTCTTGTTCCAGAGTCTCACAGAACTTTTCCAGAGCCTCTCGTGTATTATGATTCTTGTTAGTGCCCGTCACTCCGTTGGAAACGGTGCCACGAACTCCGTTCGTTTGGCCCCATGAGGTCGGGTCTAACCGCTGGCTGATTCGCATCAACTGGCGAGCTATGACAGCACATCGAATTTTGTTGTCGGCGCCACCTTGCCGTTGTATATCGTGCAGGGAGCCTAGCTTCCCTGTCTCGCTAACCTCATTCCAACATTGGATCAGGAAAATGGCGTCTTGTGCCCGTCTTCGTTTTCGATCCAGCTCTTCAAGTTTCTCGCCGATTTGCACAGCAACAATTCCTCCCCCATCTGACCTGCTGATGATGTCTTCTTCACTGACGTTTCCCTTGTTAAAAGATATATCAAGGGCTTCGAACTGGGTCATCGATTGATCGAGTTTGTTGCCTAGGGCGTCGAGGGTCTGATCATGTTGTATCTCAGCGCGGCGCACTTGTGTCAGGATCTCGGTTTCCTTTTCTTGTAGGTCGCTTTCAAGCTGCCCTAGTTGTGAGAGGGCACCTATATCATTTAATCAGCAACGATTGAGCTGAGGTAAACTCAGGAGTGGGCATTATCGTACTCTCAAAGGTGCGGATCAGAGGCTTGGGGTCGAAAGTAGTAGATTGAGGTGTCGGATTGGAGCGGCGGTTGGATGGCGCGACAGTCTCAGCTAAGCTATCAACAAAATCACGAACAATGAAGTCCTTATTGGAGAAGTTTTCCAATGTGAAGCTGGGTCCCTTGGGGAAAAGGGTCTTTGGCCCCGAAGCTGAACGCTCCATCGCTAGATCACCAACACCTCGGAGGCTAACGGTGGAGGTGTCAACTACCAGCTCTAGGCGCAAGACGATTTCGTCAACAGAGCTACTGGGCGGGGTGTCCGAGTGCTGTCGTGTTGCAGGGAGATCGCATATCAGGCGTATAGAGGTGACGAGTATTCGGTGGCGGTGATGCTTTTCCCAATGCGCTGCCACAGACACACCTCTGTCCAAGTTGTATCTTTGGCTGTCTGAAACTGGGGCCACTCCCCAAAGCTCCCTCAGCCCCGCTACCGCGTACTGAACAAAACGGCCAAGCAAAGGTCCACAATTTGGTACGAGGTACGTAGCTTCCTTGGCGCCACTTCATCTTACCCCTGCGCCACACCACACCACTCTCACTCCATGTAGAATGACCACATCAAACTCGCCGAGGCAGGCACACACCTAATAACCTTGATCTTGATCTTCAAGCAGTGGGGCTCAATCGTCGTCACAAGCTCCTCGCCTCTTCGAATTGCGCGTCAAGCTCGATGAGAGGCCCATGACTGCCACCTAACATAAGCAGCCCTACCGTCCACCCACTCCCCCCCACGATCGTTCTCGGTTTCTTAATTTCTTTCATTTCCTTCCTTACCTGGGCCAATCCGAAATATCCAGACACCACAGGGCGTTGCCGTCTAGTCCATCGTTGTCCTCTTATCCTCAGCTTTTCGAACGGTAGTCGATCCGTCCGCCCTCCATCATGCCGATGTCAACAACCTTTAAGAAGGCCTACCGCGCCGATGCGAGCAAGGACCATACTCTTCTGACTCCCCAGCAGAGGAGATATCTCTTCGAGGTGCGAACCAGCCCCTGGAGTAGCTACAATGCAGATCACTGACACTCAATCACAGACGAATCTTCCTCCTATGAACGAACCTTCAAGACCGCGCACCAATAGCACGACACAGCGCAAGTCCCGACTCGGCGTGCGCAAGTTTATCAAGACACAGCTCTATGTTTTAATCTTCGCACTCATGCATGGAATTTTCTCCCTCTACATCAGAACTCGACAAGCGTGGAACATCGTGGGCTATCAAATGTCCTCGGTGCTGTTCTACCATCATGCCACGCCCCAATATATCCAAAAGGACGTTACTGGATTATCCAAGATGCCAAACCACCTGAGCGCAATTCTTCGATCCGAGAACCCTCGTCTCAGCGCCGACCTGGACCGTTTGATCGATGAAACTGCTGAGCTGGCCACCTGGTGTGCCTGTGCTGGTATCCCCATGCTCTCGGTCTACGAAAAGACAGGTACGTATTTCAGCTCGGCTTTATTCGCCCTCGTCCAAAACTAACGGTTCTGAAGGAGTCCTAAAGAAACACATGCCTCGCCTCTATCAGGCTGTCATCCAGAAACTTGCATTCTACTATGGCGGCGAGCACCCCAGTCTCTCCTTGACATGTCCCCACCAGGAGAGCTATTCGTCGCCCAACGTGAACACCAAGGAGAGCATTGGACATTTGAGACTGCATCTGATCTCATCCCAAGATGGAAGAGATTCAATGGTTGACCTCACGAGAACTCTCGCCGACATGTCCCAGCGAGGCAAACTCTCCCCTCAGGACATCTCCATGGACTTGATCAATGCGGAACTTTCCGAAGGAGTTATGGCTGAGCCTGACCTACTCATCCTCTTCAGCCCTCATATCGAGCTTTCCAGCTACCCTCCATGGCAAATTCGCCTGACAGAGATCTTCTGCCTTCAAGATAACGAGAGCTTCAGCTACCAGGTGTTTATCAAGGCGCTGAGAAACTTTGCCAGCGCGCAAATGCGTCGTGGTAAATAGATGATGCCTTCGATAGAAGTGTACAACTCTCTCTCTTAAAAAGTTTAGATTTGATCAACATCTATCTGTTTCCTTTTGTTCTCTTGGGTCCAGGATAGCATCCTCGTTCAGATACCTCACCTCTGCCATATTGTCATCTCATGTGTTTTTGCATTCCATCGATAGACAGGGCCACTCCCCACATTATAAATATAATAGTTGTTTGTCCCTTCCTTGATCATTGCCCTTCGAAAAGTGATGTTAATTCTTCCGCCGTCGTCCTGGTTCTTTCCTGTCCTCTTCGGGATGGAGTGAAGCCATTTCGACTGTGTCGACCCGCGCATCAAGACCATCTCGCCGCTGGCCAGCTGAAGCTTCAGCGGTTTGCTTTCGGACATGTCGTCCGTCTGTCCCTGGCTCGGGACCGGCTTATGCTTCATGAGGAAGTCCCGCCGAGCCCCAAGCGAAAACGAGGCAATCGCAGGGTTTGGCCCCAGAAACCTCTCGTCGTCACTGTGATAGGAGATGCTGTCTGAACCCGAGGCATAGTAGTTCACAAGGCAGAAATTGAACTTGCAGCCAGTTGCGGCCTCTACGGTCTTGCGAAGACCGTCGAGACACTGAGGGATTGGCCTTGGAGGATACTTGTTGTAGCTCGTATCCGTGGCTTTAGCGCCAGTCTTGGAATCAACCACGATTCCATCTTGGTCGAATCTTGATGTATCGTCCAATCCAAATACGGTCGTCCATCTAATTATTGCATCGTCAGCTTTCTCACTTCCCAAAGTCCAGGGTTCTGTTTACTCACCTCGGCGTCTTTATATGTGTAGATATGCCTCCTCGCTTGATGTCATATTCTACCCTGTAAAACGGAAGTTCTAAACGAAGAAATTCAAAGAACTCCTTGGCCATGTAAGAGGGGATATATGGTTGAAAGTACAGCAAATCAAGGTCTGGCTGGTCATTGATCTCTTTCCCCGGGCGGGCGGGTAGAGACACGATGTCTCTAGCCAGTGAAGGTGGTAAGTTTTTTATAGGAAATGGGTATTGGACATGATTTGTTGTTTCAATCTATTCACAGAGCAGTCAGGATACCTCAATGCAAATAACTCGACAGATTACTAGCCTGTTTGGCCATTACTCACTGTCTCTTCTGTTGTCTCCTCTATACGGGGCTTCTTTGGAGGGACCTGGAAAAACGAATCTATGGTTCTCTTTTTTGACATGGTGATACGTAAAACGCGATAGAGGGATTGAAGCATCGGCTAGCGCTATGGCGCACCCGTTTTACTTAAAATATCTTTTGCCTCGACTCATGATGTCAGTCACTATCAGCCGTTTGTTAGTCGCATGTAGCTTGCTTGATAGGTGACGCCACAGGGCTCAAGAAGCTGTATCACTACATGTACTGTGGCGGTGCACCCAGGTACCCAAATTTAATTCTCCACTACACCTCATATTTTCCGACCCTGGTCACACAGTATGGATCACAGGTAGAGTCACATATCCAGGTTGTATAAAACTTGCATCAAAATTATCCAAAATTGTGAGATTTTACCCATACCCAGAGCCAGGCTCAAATCATGGAGGTTAGTTCAATCTATGTCGTTCGACAAATTCAATCATCTCATTTTTTCTTCCAAAGTATAAAGAAAAGGGTTAACATGAGCCATAGCCTGCGAAAGCAACTGAGCAAATCGACATGGCCACTCTATTTCGTGCGCCGGCCGCCCGGGCCATGAAGTCCCTAGACAAATCACTATTTTTCAGAGTTCTCCCTACATCCGCTGCACTTGTGAGCCAGAACACGCTGCTGTCGAGGTATCGCAAGGCGCTGGAGAAATCGGAGGAGCTGATTCAGGTGGAAAAGTTCAGTCCCATTGCTCCGCATCCTGATCCAGAGGCTGCGAAGGCGGGAAAGAAGTGTCTGGTTCTCAAGCCTAGTGTCGACCCAGCCTGTAAGTCCTGAACATCTCCTACGGCTCTATTGTGTTATTCTCATTTTTCTTGGTATTCCTTTTAAAGGCTCTCATCTAACATGAATTCGACATACAGCACCAGAAACATGGAGTTCCGTGTTGAGAAAGGGCTCAGAGGATGGCGAGCTAGAAATTATCCCCTACAAAGCAGACTTCGACTACACTTACTGGAGATACCGTATGTATTATATCTCCTGATTCCGCAGAGCCCATTAGCAGGCCGGCTAACTTGTGGAAAAGTTGACATTATGAAATCTATCCTTCCTGAGGAGTTGCACGACGAAATCCCGTCAGGCTTCAACACGGCGGGACATGTCGGTAAGTTAAGGTCCCCCCTAGAACTGACTGAGTGGGCTTGTAAAACTCATGGTTCATCACAGCACATCTCAACCTCAGAGAGCAATATCTACCATACAAGGGGGTGATCGGCCAAATCATCATTGATAAAAACCCGGCTGTGAAGACCGTCATTAATAAGATCGACGATGTCGGAACTGCCAACGAGTTCAGAACCTTCAATTACGAGGTGCTAGCAGGACCCGACGATCTGGTCGTCGAGGTCACCGAGGCCGACTGCGTCTTCAAGTTCGACTACTCCAAGGTCTACTGGAACTCAAAGCTCAGCAACGAGCACCAGAGGCTGATCGACATCTTCAAGCCCGGCGAGGTGGTCGCAGACGTCATGGCAGGCATCGGCCCCTTCGCCGTCCCCGCCGGGAAGAAGGGCGTCTTCGTCTGGGCCAACGACAAGAACCCCGAAAGCCACAAGTATCTGGAGACCGCCATCGCTAGGAACAAGGTCTCCGAGTTTGTGAGGCCCTTCAACCACGACGGACACAGCTTCATTCGCGATGCGGCGGACTCTGTTCTCGAAGCCTTCAAACGCAAGGAACACGCCGTCATCAAGCCGCCCAAGCCCTCAAGGAAGGCCCCTCCCCCAAAATTGCCCCCAAAAGACATCCTCATCCCCGTGCCTCCAACCATTTCCCACTTCGTCATGAACCTCCCGGCCTCCGCCCTCGAGTTCCTGCACAACTTCCGCGGCCTATACTCCGGGAACGAGGAGCTCTTCGCCCCTCACACCACGACCCAGCTCCCGCTCGTCCACGCCCACTGCTTCGCCCCCAAGCTCAACGACGACACGACCTACGCCGAGGTCCTAGGGCGCATCGAGAAGGAGATTGGCGTCGCGCTGCAGCACGGGGACGGGGACAAGGAGGGCCAGTGCAGCATCATCGAGGTCCGAGACGTCGCGCCGAACAAGCGCATGTTCTGCGCCAGCTTCCGGCTCCCAGCCAGCGTCGCCTTCGCCCCGAGGGCGTAAGCGTTCGTCTCCATCAAAAGGGCTCCAAGGCCCCGTCCGGGCTGGAACCCCTGGGCCCCATCTTTACGGTTTACCACCCATGTTTCTCATGCACGACGCTCCCGGAGGGGCAAACCGAACGGCATAGACGCTCGCTCGGCCATGCGAGGGGTCCCGGCACTCGCAGGGACCTTTTCATCACAACCTGTTCTGCTGTCCATTGTGCCTTATCTTGTGCCCTGGGGCCAATCAATAGCCCTCCGAACTTGTGGCCGCATGTGTGGTCGCCAGCCCCGTCAAACGGCCGTGCCAACAAGCTCTACAACGCAGATGTGGCATATGACAAAACACCAAGAGGGGGGATCGGCGATGGGCGGCTGCGCCGTTCAAGGGGTCAATCTTATCCCTAAGGGGTTCTGATCGCATGTGGCAGGGTCGGATCTTGGTCGCAAGGCAATCAGCAGCAGCGGGCGATGGAAGACCTTCGATACACCCTAACAATCGCATCGCAAAAGGGGAGGGCGGCCTCTTCCTTTACCCAGACACCTTTGGAGTTCAAGTGGTGTGCAGTAGGTCCTGGTGGGTGGGTGGCTTGACTACTTGGCTTGATCTCGTTGGATGTTTCGAGTCGACCATCCTATTCCGTGTCGTATTCATGCTGCCTCCCAAGGATGAATGGCGTGTGCTCTGAATAGAGGCGGGACGAAATATTTCACCAGTAGTTTCGTGATATTCCTAAAGCCATTGTGTAGACATTTTAGGTAGCAAATTCGTCACAGGATAATCAGGTCAAGATCTTTTAAAAAGAAAAAGAAAAAGTCTTCTGTACATCATAGCAACACTCAATTGGACTGCCTCATTCTTTTGGCTATTGAAATGGCCGTGTAGCCATAAAGTTAGATTGTGTATTCACAGGCGCTTTATCACTACTCAGCTAGCCTGCCAGAAAATATCAAGAGAATATGGCAACGGTTCTTCGTTCAGGCTTCTACTCTACCTTCTTCGGCCGTGAGTTAAAGCGTCGGCCATATGCTAACAATAGTCGTTGGGCGCTCCCCTTAGCCGAGCCCATGAAGTATCCTATTCTATCCGTCTATGTTGGTTTATCATAGGTCTTCTTCACCTATGCCGAGCAGTAACGTCCCTAACTCTTGCGTGTAGCCTTCTTTATCGTAAGCCGGAGGTGGCCCTCCGCCGAAGTTCAGAACTCCGCAATAGCCCCGGTACTGCGGGACATCCTGGCCCAGTCACGGCGAACCTGGAGGGGTGCATGCGAGAACTTCTCCATCCTCTAAACCGCCGTGGCGAGGATCCATGCATAGGCCTTCGTGTCGCGATGACATGGGTGCAAGCTAGACACGCATGTCAGCGTAGGTAAAATGCCCGACAACTGGCACATCAAGCTTTCGGCTACAACAACTTCCTCACCCGGACGAAAGGTTTACCACTTACACTAGTACGCCAGACGCAAGAACGAGAATAAACAGGGACTTAGAGAGCATGGGCTGCCACCCATATATTTGTGATGGGGGGTAGCCAGATACACACCGATATTACATTGCATATTCGCGTACATGGCTGAAGAGAGAAGTGACTGATCTTGTGTAATCGGTTGGGATGCCGAGGGGTAGTATTGCAGATTCTGAGGTGCCACATGCATAACATTTCCATATCATGGTGGCACCGATAGGGTATCGTTGCCCAGAACGGAACAGACCAGAACGCAATGAGAACAAAGAATGGTGCTCAGGGTAGATTGCAAAGCTGCATGTTTCCCACAATACCTCCTGCGCCATGATGCGATTTTGACAGGATGCATGGCGCCCACCTAGCATATATCAGGGATCGATGGTTACAATTGGCTCGTATTCCGATTCGATTGCTCGGGGACGAGTGATCACTAAACGCCGAAATGCGGTTCAATTGGCCAAGGATAGGCGAATGCGCGGAGTGTGAGAGGCTCAAGGAGACAGCTGCATGCTAGCATCCTGGTAGAACCCACCTTTAGGGCCATATCAATTTCTTCAGTGAGGTAAGAGTCCTGTCAACAGGTTTGACTTCCTGCAGACATAGCGAGAGGCTGGCGAGAAAAAGTTTATTCCTCGTCGTGTTATCTCCCCGAGGCCTCACCGACGTTGGTTGTGCTCGTCAATTGAAAGATAAGCGACATGGCTGGCCGGTGGCTGGAAGCTCTGGAGCTAAAAGTCAAGAGGAGGCCGCTAACTCCTCTGCGAGGCGTGGGTGTAGAAACACGAAGCTCGGTAAACGGCTACACCAGGCAGAGCTGCGAGTGCTTGACCTGGGACTCGGAGCTTATCGACTGCCTTGGCTGGTTGATGCAAGTTGCTTGCAGCGCCGGTGCCGTCCTGCGCTGCTTGCATATGTACATGCATGCGTGCGTGCGCGTGCATATCAATCCGGGTTGGAGGCGCTGGCCAGGAGCCAACCAATGGCGGCCACAGAGGCCGACATGCTGATACGGAGTTGGCCAAGGTGGTTCGACAAGTCAACGCCTGTCATCCGATGACCTTGCAGGCACTGGAGCATTGGCGCTAAATTGCTCTGGGGGAGGGGTTTCATGAGAGACGAATTGCATTGTCTAAGTAGAGGCCGTGAGAAGGAGTTGACAAAATTCAAATGCCTGTAGGTGCAAACAGGCGCGAGGAGGCAGGTGCCTGCCCAACCAGAAGAGAGAGAAAGACCAGAGAAGGTGCGAGTATCAATGCAGGCAAGAATGGGCCCTACCTGATACCTCGATGCTTCTTCGGTGGCAGGCAGGCGCTAGGCCAATGGGTAAATTCGGCAGGTACGGCTTGGGAATCCCCATTTTGGAAGCTTCTGACGAGAAAGAAGACCAGCTCCACGTTCAACTTCGATGCAGCTATCCTCGGCCTAGATTGAGCAATCGCATGTGCACTCTCCTCATCGTGCCTTGAAGTCGTCG